CCCGAGTAAAAAATTATTGAAGAATGTTGACATAAAGATAATTGGTCTAAATGAAAATAAGCAATTCAAGCAGAATTATGTTCTCTTACAAAAGAGTAGTTTTTTGAACCCATAGCTAAAACACCCGAAGATTTTAAGCTAGTGGGATATAAATGAGTATTTTTAGGAAACTAAAATAAAAAAAATGAGATTATGAGATACAAAGAAAGACTTGTAATACAAGAGTTTCGCAAAGAATCGACATTGACTATTAGGAGACATATTCTCCTATAATGGATGCAATTATACTTTATTATCTCATTAGTCCGGCAAAATATATGAAAAAATTAATATGCATGCATTTAATGAATGTGATCACAATTTATTTGTTTATTTGAAATGATACGAGTATGAAAATCCTAGAAGGACTTAACATGCTAGAAGCATGTAATACATATTCTCGAGATAAGAATTCAATTAAATTATAAAAATCTCTATTAGGATTATTTTAGTATTTGTTTTATTATTTTAGTTTTTAGAGATTCAACTTATATTATACTTTTTATATTTTATTTTTGTATCTACTATTTATTACTAACTCCGTATGCATGTGATATAATCACTTCAATGATTATTTATTGAAAAAAGTTATAAAAAAAATAACCCTATTTGTTCATATATTTTTATTTGAAAAGGGGTTTGTTGTATATGTTGATGACTTAAATACATTGGAACTTCGAAGAGATTCCGAGTGTCATAAGTGATCTAAAAAGAGAATTTGATATGAATACCCCGGAAAAAAATGTCATCTCGACCTGCAGTTCGAGCACTTAGAGAATGAAACTTTTATTCATCAGTCAATTTGTATAGAAAAAGGTTCTAGAATGATTCTATATAAAGACCATTCATTGAATAGCCCAATAGTAGTTCATTCATTTGATATTCAAAAAGACCTTTTTCGACCTCGAGAAGATAACGAAAAGCTACTTAGTCCTAAAGTATTGTATCTTAGTGCCGCTGGTGCATTGATATATCTTGCTAATAATACTCGACATGATATAGTCTTTTCTATAAATTTATTAACAAGTCATAGTTTTGTTTCAATACGGAGACATTGAAATAGAGTTAAATATATACTACGTTATTTTTAAGGAATAATTGATATGAGTTTATATTACTCCAATAAATCAAAGACAAGATTAATTGATTATGCGGATGTAGGTTTTTTATCTTATCTACACAAAGTTCGATCACAACTAGTTATATATTTACATATGGAGATACAACTATATTTTGGCGTTCTATGAAGCAAACTATAGCCGTCACATCTTCAAATCATGTAGAAATATCAATTCACGAGGCAAGTCGAGAATGTATTTGGCTAAGATCAACGATCCATCATATCCGAGAGACATGCGGTTTATCTATCAGCAAAAGAAGTTCCAACAATATCATATGAGGATAATATCGCTTGCATAATTTCATTGAAGGAAGAATACATCAAAGTGACAATCCAAATAGATTTATTCGCTAAAGCATTACCTACCACAACTTTTGAGAAGATGATTCAAAAGATTGAAATATATCATCTTAGAGATCTCAAATGATGTTTTCAATAGGGGAGGTCAACATTGAGATTAATAGCTACAAGAAATATTGTACTCTTTTTCCTTCATTAGAATTTTTTTTCACCGGGTTTTTTTTCTAGTAAGGTTTTAACGAGGCATATTTCCTGTACAATGGACATTCAAGGGAGAGTGTTATGAAATAATAAATATCTATCATCATGTTCATCTATTTTTCATATCCCCATTACTCATGATTCTTAATATAATTCAATTCATCAATAAATATGAGAAATTGAAAGGGTGATGCAATTGATTATTCTTAGTCTCTTTCAATTCTCTTCTCAAATTTAAAGCCTATAAATAGGCTTGATTGTTCATTAGTTGATGTACAAACATTTTGTAAAGATTGTAAGAATTGTTTAAAGTTATTATCTCTTATATATTTTTTTATAGTAAAATCATTTCTTCATCATTTTTCTCTTCAATTCTCATATTATTTCTATTTTTTTTATAACACGGATCTTTTAGGTTTTTTTTTTTTTTTAGTAACAGTAATAAGGAACTAATCAAGGTGGTTTCAACCGAATTTGTTGAAGAACCAATTCCCGTTTAGAAATGATCGTATCTTTCAACACGTATGTTGTCTCACAACAAGACATACGGGGAACATAGTCCACGTACATGAAGGTATGATTGGGCTTATCATTTTTTTTTAATTGAAATTGGGCTTATCATTTATTTGTCCGCCTTGATAACCTATTATTAAAAAAAACATTTAAAAGAAATTTAAGAAAATGAATAGTTATTACCATTTATTATCTCACGAATCACGATTTACCGTATAGTAGTTTTGGTAATTTTGAACGTAGCATTATAGTGACTTCTTCTTCTTCTTCTTCTTCTTCTTCTTTTTTTTTTTTTAGCATTCATATGCAAACTTACATTGTATTTTATTTTGATCTCTATTGTTTTCGTCCATTGTGTTTTGAAAAGATTTGTTGGCCCCTCATGTTTTCATTTTATTCCATTTTAGTCCCTCATGTTTTAATGATATTTTTGGTTCCTAATGTTTTCAAATTTTAAAATTAACATATACATAATTATATTATTTTTATTGTTTAAAATTGAATTCTTTGATTTGCTATTTTTTATAGAAATTCTCATCAAATTAATTTTTATCCTTTTTTATGCAATTATATTTTTAATAAATATAATTTATTTTTCTTTATGTATATATTTTTGAATGAGTTTTTTTTAAAATAAATAATCAATTAAATAATAGAATTCATGTGTTTTACTTGCTTATTCTTGTTATAATTAAATTTTAATTTTTATTTGTTTTTATTACACCCCGCTAACTTTAATATATTTTTTACAATGTAACTTATTTTAAGAAAATATTTTTCGATTTATATTATATACTTTGACCTATTAAGTATGGTCATGATGTATAAAAAAATATTGAGATCATTAATTTTATTAAAAATTGGTTATGCATCTATACATACAATACCAATTATTTGTTATTAATTTCTTTAATATTCTAAAATTATTCTTTTGCAAATAAAATAGTTGAAATAATGTTTTTAAAGAATCACCTAATAATTCAAATATATCATTTTATTCTAATATTACTGATTATTTTACAAATAAATATATATAAATCAAGCGTACATATTCTCAACAAGTTAAAAAAGATTCGTTAGTTAATTGTTATGCAAGTTTTATATTGATTATTGAGTAATCTTATGAAAAAATATTAAGATGTTTTTTGAAAAAAATTATTAAATTTTTTATTTATATTATTATAGGTTTTTATTTAAGAATAAATGCATAGCCGTAAACGAATCTTGTTTTTTTAACAATAAAATTTATGAAAAGCATAAAGAAGAATAAATAAAATATAAAATTTTGATTAAAATTATAAAATTAAATAAAATTTTATTTTTCATTTTAATTTAATATATTTTAGTTAACTAACAGTATAATACAAGTTATCAAACTGAAACATGTTTAATTTAAGATGCTATGTAGCTTAAAAAGCCGACTAATTAACAAGGAAACTAAAGGAAAAGGAAGTTTTACTATTGCTTCGCTATTTGAAACTCTGTTCACTGTGAGACAAATGACTGTAGACTTAGACTCAGTTGTACTGTTGGTTTCACTGTTTTCCTTCCCAGCTTCCTTATTTGCCGTTGCTTCTTTCCTGATCTCTGCTCCACCCTTGGATTTGGTTAGACTTGCTTTTAATGAATTCTTCTTGTTATCTATCTAATTGACATTGCCAAGCAACAGGTGAGGCTCTCCGTGCGTTGCTTTTCGTTTTAGCAAAATTCTTGAAGAGGTTGATGTGATGACATTATTTACAATGCCTTTTCCAACTCTTGATGCCACCGATCCAAAATAAAGAAAAACTCATCTTTGCTTACCCCAATTCTTATATAAAATTTTCCAATAATAATTAAATGCAATAAAAAAAAGTTGTGATTTTAACATTATCGGAAACTCTATGGCTGCCCTAAACCTTACCAATCTCTGTTTAATTCTATTTACTTACTAATCTCCGTTTGATTCCATTCATGTCTAGATTTGTGTTTCAATTCATGCCTACATTTTGGAATCTGGAACTGACATGGGACTTCATCACATCAAAGCAGCATTGCCTCAACAAAAATAAACCAATATCTGTTGAAAGAAAAACAAAGCAGAAACACAGGGCATGTACTAGTTTAACACACTACAAAACCGACAACTCTTCCCCAACCAAGCCCGCAACCCATTCAAGGACTTCCCATTGCCAGCTTGTGTACCCCAACAACGAATTGCACCACCACAAAAAAAAAAAAAAAAAAAAGAAAAAAAGAAAAGAAAAGAAAAGAAAAGAAAGGAGATTGTTCTTTTTCTCTCAGAAAATAAGCTCAAAATATAATTGCAACACATACACATAACAAAACATTCATAAAATAATTGCACTAGAATTGAATCTTCAATTCTTTTGTGGCAACAACTCTACGTCACAGGAACTACAACTTTCATCATTGGGTAAAAAATCGGAAAACACAAAAAAGAATATATGGTGATCTGTGTCACTAGAAAAAGAATCTCCTTCCTGTCATGCCCACCAGCAGCTCGGTTCCCAAGCCAAATGCCAAGTCTGGAATGGCAATAAAGGGTTTTTTTCATCAACTTCGTTGAATGTCTTGAGCTAAATCTCTGAGCAACATCTTCCCAGTTTCCTTATTTCACTCTATTTATATCACTGTACATCCAACAGAAAACTTCTATGTAGTCTCCTCTCTTCAGCCTTTATTTTTCAGGCCTGTATTACAATGTTGTGTCATTTGAATATTAAATGCAGGTAATGAACATTGAAATAAATCCTAGAACAATAACACAATCGTGACCAAATCCCATCAGCAGATAGAAAGTTATTGATCATTAGATCTCACTTCCTCAACCATCATGCATCTTGTATAGTTGGCTACATGATTCTAAATCATCACAAGCTACCAGATTATTCTCAAGCGCAAGTGAGGGGCTTACTGGTGAATGAGGGATGTGAAGAAGAATGACTGCAACACAGTACAAACACAGAGACACAGCAGCCCCTGCAACAACATTGTAAAACAGCCGCCTATTGTCTTTTGTGGGTATGAAAACTGTCTTTAGTGTATTGGTCAATTCAAAAAGTCGATGAGATACCTGCAGATGCAAGTAAAGAAAGCAGCCCAAGGAGAAAGACTGTATTAGTTACTACCACTATTTCTGATAACATTACGTGGTCAAGAACAAGTTTACTTACTAGGACATAGATGGCTGTTGTAAGCATGAAATTTAGTAATGGATATTCTGGAATAAAAGAAAGGAGCCACTTAGGCTGTCCATTGGGTATGTCTGATCTGCAAATGCATGGAAGTTAGAAATGCATTTCTCCTAGCTCAATCAAAATAGATTTCTATAAACTTGCTGAATCCTTTCACTTCTGAGGGTTTCTTTTTTAAAAAAGGGCCCTGCTGTTGAGTTAATAAATAAGGTTGTTCTTTTCTGTGCATTATGCATATTCGTAAAGTTTTGAACTTTATAATGCTTCATAAGCAAGCTAAAAATCTTTACCCACTGAACTATGCATGAGGGTTTCCTTAACATAGGATCAATAGATTTTAAAGATAAGAAAGAGCTGAAGAAGATGATATACATATATCATGAGAACCAAAGAAGAAAAGAAGGAAAAATAGAAGTTGCTGACTCGAAATCAAAGAAAACATAAGAGACTATTAATTCACAAACTACAATTACATTGGGTTCCTTATAAATTGGCATACACAATAATGAGCTTGTAAAGAGTCATTTATGTCCCTTTCCAATTTATTGATTACTTTTTCACTTTCAGTTTCCACGGGTTGTTAGTCTTCTGTACTTGATTTACAATCTTGTGCTTTCTTCTTTTAACAAAATCACTTCTTCATATATGTATTTACTAAGTTGTGCGCTGCTTTTCTTTTAATTGTTTATTTATTTAATTATTCAGTACCAAATATGAAATTTTCTTCACACTACTACTTTATGCCCTTTTTCTCACACAAGCCATCAAAGCCAAAGAAAGTCACAGCCAATCACACAATTCTTAAAGAAGTCCATAGTCCATCCAAAAAAGTACCAAGGAAGATGGGCATTTGATTATTGAACAACATACAATGTTTTGATATACATTTTTTTATTTTTTTTGCTTTATAAAAAGGGTAATGACCAAATGGATCAATGTGAAGTCCTATAATGATATCACAGTTAAATTTGTTAGTTGCATTTCAGAGTGCAATTGCTGGTTTAATGTTGTCTTGTGCTTTGTGAGGGTGCCCATAAACACCTACTTTAAGAATATCTTTCTATAATTCAAATTCAGTTAATTATCTAGGCTGGTAGAACGGAAGTGGAGAAAAACAAATAAACATAAAAAAATAAATGAAAGGAACCAAATAGTTAATCCTCAAACCTCAACCAGATGTGGAACTGCGAAATATAGGTCTCCAACGTTATCTTGCCAAGCCAACTGTGCATTTAAAGTAACCCAATTATGGCAAGTACAAAATTAGCATGGTTATTCATATTCAAACAAAAAAGCAAAAAAAAAAACAGCAGTACAAAACATATATACAGGGAAAATAACATACGCAAAGAGAGTCAGAGAGAAACTCCGGAGCTGCTGAGTGCAATTGCGCAAGCAAATGTAAACTCTGGGTCACATAAAGTAGATATTATAATAAGACCTATTATGGAAACATATTTTCAGCACATCATCCAAAGAACTCCCTAAGCATCCTGCACCTAAAATAGTTCTTCACAAGGGAAAAAGAAAAGAGCGCACAAACACAAATACAAACATATATCCTTGATACATACGTAATGGGGATCCATGATGTGTAGGGGTGATACTTGTTGTAAGAAACTTTGTCCAGCTTGTAAATGCATTCATACCAAAAATAACCAACCTTGAAAGGATAAAAATAGATATCAAACCACAACCAAAGTATGAAAAACAGATGATAAAAAATCTAAATAGAATAATGATAATGATGTAAACAAAGTCATGCAACTCACAGATACTGAAACAGCTACTATGCCTGTTTTGATTGACAGTTTCTTCTTGGTTTCAGATTCCTCCAATTTCTCCATCCACTTCTCAATCTGAAACCTCAAAGACATTTAATTTAAATGTTGGAGTAGCAAGAAGAAAGACTAAACATGACCACAGTTCAAGTAATTACAGTGGGGTGAAAATAAGCATATATCATTCCAATGATCCATATATAGCGATCAAGTCCAGATCTGAAGTGCCACTCATGCAGCCTAGGGAGGTCTGGCTTTCCAGGATCAGTATAGCCTGCCAAAAAGATATAACTATTAAGCATATGCAGAAGCAAGAAGGCAATCATAAAATTCCAACTGAACTTGAATGTTGCCATTTAATCAAGCTAAATCAACCAAGTTTCCATTTTGGATAATTCTAAAAGAATTTTTTTTTTTTTTTTTACCAAAAAAAAAAAAAAAAAACAGCAAAAAAATTTAAATAACAAGTGAGATGTACATGCAGAACAACAATAGATTAATTAAGACCATTAGAATTATTACAGTAAAACAAACAACAAAAAGAAGATGCCCGATCTTCAGTTCAAAGAGGAAAAAAAAAAAAAAAGATACAAAAAGCTGCAACCTTTTTTACTCATACTCCCATATCATTAAAGTGCACACAGTGGAAGTTCACCAAACAAGCGTACCAACTTCCAAAGTAAAATAGCCAAGCAAATAATTATGAATAAAAAAAAAAAAGACAAAATATGTCAGATACTAACCTAATAGGAAAGTTAACGGATTCCAGATGACATAAAAAACTCCAGGTATTTCCCAAATCAAGATAACCACAAGAAAGCATGAAAGAATCTTCACAGCCATCACTGAGCTATTGTCATTATACTTGTTAAAAATACCAAGGGCTCCATAGACCATTAAAGTGAATAGCGTGTGCATTGGGCAAATATAATAGAGCATGTAGTCATTGCCAAGGACAATACAGCAAAATGCCACAAAGAAATTGAGCCGCCACATCATCTGCATCAAGTAACATGTATTTAATTTATAGGAAATTCACACCAAAAGGGGGAAAAAAAGAAAAGAAAAGGAATATGACATATAACATGCTGTTGTGAAATAATATAAGGCGTGGAATCAGTGATATGACCTGAGTAAAGCGAGCTAAGCTAAAATCTTTTCTAATGTAATAATAAGAAAAGTTGCCAAATCCCGTCATCCAAACATATGCAGCAATAAAGACACGTATCGCATTGTATATCTCTGTTGCAGCAAAATAATGGTACATCAAGAATAGGACCTGTTTCAGGAAAAAAAGAAAGGAGTTAATGCAGCCTTGGAGACTTGGCAGAGGTATCTATTATGCACAACTGATGCAACAAATTATTGTATACACAGAGCTAGCAGTGTATACAATCTCTAATATCCAGCTAACCCAATCAGATTGACACATATGAACAAGGATTTTAATGAATACCAATCTGGTTTCATTTGAATGATAGAAAGCAAAATAATATTGCACCACAATAAATTCCAAGGAGCAGATGTACATTTTGTTCTCTGTAGTAAATCAAGTATAGCTCAATACAAGTTTTAGAGCTTTTATGAATTTTGCAGCCATTAAATTTCTGTACAAGTTACGAGCTTCAACAAGAAAAGATTACCTGCATCCATCCTTTCCACTCCTCAGTCTGATGCCGGTTAAGGTAAAGTGTGGATTTTCCAGTGAAAGCTGACTTGTCAGTATGTTTCCTCAATGAAGTCATTGCTGATACTATGATGAGAAGAATGTACAGGAAGACAAAAAGGTCACGGTTGTAGTTCTGTCCAAAAACCATCAAACCCAAAAGTAAATAAGAAAGGAATAGCATTATTATACTTGAACAGAGCATTTCATCGGAAGCAAAGCTGTCAGAGATGAAATCATGATAGTAAATAAACACATGAACAACGCACATGAAATAAGTACCTTTGTAGATTCTCCCAGTATATTTGTGCGATCACAGACATAGAAGTACAGCAAAAGTACCCCAAACTCAGACCTGCAAGAATTTGTATGGTAAAACTAGAGAAAGCAAAGATAACCAACACAAGCACATAGTAATTATCTAAAAAGTTAATGACTTACATTGCTCTCAATGTAGCTCTGTTTTCTAGCAAGAAAGAGTCATCCATAGTCATAAACCTAGAAGACAATAAGGACAGAAATTAGGAAAAAGCTTTTAGAAAATTAATATATAACTCGATGATAATACTGCACAATGTAACAATCAACCTAATTAAGTTCATTTTAATGGCCGAAGTATGAAATTTGGCAGATGTTGATCTAGGAAGGCCTCCCTCCAGCAAGACAGCCCGATCATCTTCCTTGATTGTCTCCTTTTCCAAGTCAAGCAGATTATTGTCGGAATGACTGCAATCCAGATAATTCAGGTGGTCAGCATCAGGAAATATTGGAAAACAACATTTCCAATGAGTTAATCTGTATATAAGAAATCAGCACATCTGTGCCATAAGTAGAAGGAAAGGAATTCAATCAATATCTAATTATACACATTGCTAGCTCAGATTCTCTCGAACGTATGAAACTAGAATGGACTATAGTATCACCAAACTTCAATTAATTATAACTAAATTAGCACTTACCAGTCTAAGCCTTTTAATCATCAGTTATACGCTATCATAAGGGCCATTAGTCCAATATTAACTAACTAATTATCTATCTAACCAGCCAACCAACACTGAACAGCTATCTTGCACAGGTAAAATATCTGAGGGCTTATCTTCAATGCAAACACCAAGAAAGCATTTGGAAGCTCCGTAATCTTGCCTTAACGAAGAAACGAGATGTGCTCATTAACATGTACCCAATATCAGAGTCAGTTCACAGATAAAAAAATATAAATACAAGGGGAAAAAAAACTCAAATCTACATTTCATCATTCGCACTGCAGAATACAAAAGAATTTAAATGTGATTAAAAAAATAAAAATAATTGCTACTTGAAACATTACTTTATTTAAAAAAAAAACTCACACTTTGGGAGGGGAAGAAGTTTTCTTATACTCTAGGAACTCAGAATATATCCATGCAACAGAAACTGGGATAAATCCGAGCAAGAACGAAACCTGATCAATCATAACAAAAAGTATGTCTCTATTACACAAGTGAGCAAAGACATGTATAACAATAAATAAGTGAAATTGAGTCTATAAAACATATATATATATATATAAAAAAATTGAAATTTGACAATTATGGAATCCTGCTAGCCTAGAACTTTGCAAACCTACATTACATCGCGAATCACCAAAAAAAAAAAAAAAAATAGAAATGAAGAATAATAGAGAGAATAGAAAATGCGTAAGAAAATGAACCTGTCCAGGCGTGATTGGGCCCGACACCATCATTTTGGATCCTAAATCGGCAAACAAAGAAAAACAAACCGAATCAATCAATCAATTAAACAGGATAAAAATAATCATAAAAAATTTATTCAATTCAAATCAAGAAAGAAACAAGTAACAAATACCCCAGAGAGAGAGAGAGAGGTGAAGAAGGGCAGTGTGTGTGTTAGACAGAGAAAGGAAGATCTAAAGGCATAATAAATATTAGGACTGACTGCTTACAAGAAATCAAAAGAAGACCAAGCCGAACATAACAGCAACAGAAGGAGAGAGAGAGAAAGAGAGAGAGAGCGAGAGATCTGTAATGCGTAAGCAGAAAAGAGTTTGCTTCAAGAAATAGAAAAATGTTAGAGAAACAGAGGAGAAGTCTCTCTCACTCACTATCCTTCCTATTTTTCAATCCTTTCTTTCCTTCCTCACCAGCAATGGTTGTTGTGGTGGTTCGGTTTCTTTCTTTCTGTTGCTCTTTTGCTTTCAACTCTCTAAAAATATTAATTAATTCTTTTGATTTAAATTGTCACCGAAGAATTTACTTAATCTATTGCTTAGTGCAATGTTTGTCGATTAAAAAAAGAAATTATATAACTCACTGTAATCATTGTTTCTTTGATTTTTTTCTTCCACACCTATTTTTCCACTACCACTACTTCAGGTCGTTTCCAATTCTATCACTCCTGTCAAATTATAATTGTATTGTTTTATTTTCCTTCGTCTATTTCAATTCTTTTGAGAAAAAAAAACTAATTTTGTTTCTTTCTTTTTTTCCAAGTAAAAAAAAAAAGAAATTTTTTTATTGCAATTTGATTGGAACTCATTTTAATTGACAATTAAACTCTAATTCTAAATTTCAACTAAAATGAAGACTGAAGAAACGAAATTTTGTTTACAATAGAGTCAACTCAATCTATTATTGTCATCTTCAAGTATCTATATTTTATAATTTGATTGAAGAAGCATTCAAACCTCACAGAAAAATTGCATTTACACTATTAGTATTATTACTCTTCCATTCAAGAGATTGGTTGAAACTTGAGAATTGAGATCAAAGTACGAAACTAAATATTTTAAATTATGAAGTCAATGTATATGATGTGATTGGAAATGAATTTTATGAAATGAAAAATAATTCGTGTTATAAATAATAATATCAAATCCTTATATACTAATTGTTGACTAATTATATATGCTTTCTAGCATTTTGTAATTTATTTTTTTTTCGATATTGAAATTTCATTTGTTGGATAATTGTCTTTTTCTTAAACCAAACCGGCCTATTAGAAGAGTTAAACTAAAATGCATCGTAAAAAATCAATTGTTTATTATAAAACTACAATAATCTTCTTGAAATATTATGAAATTATAGACCAATTAAGGGTTTGAAATTTTAATTTAAAAAAGCCCCATGTTAAGAAAATATTACAAAAAGATTCTTTCATACCCAAAATATCCTTAATTATTATTTAAAAAATAATTAAATTAAGAACTTTAAAAAAATAAAGAAAGAATATATATATATATACGAACAATATAAATTTGCTATCTAATTCTATTCTTTTTTTAGTTTCGTTTCTAATATTCTTTCTCTAATTTATTAAATTTTTTAGTTTAACTTCTTTTTTCTAAATAGTATTTAGGAATATTTGGCTTTTTAATAGAAGATTTCTGTTAAATTTTTAAATGATTCATGTAATTTCATGATATCTCAAAAGGTTAATTTACCTTAATTTGTATAAGAGTCCATTTTAAGATTTTTTTAATTAGTCCAACATGATGTCGTTTCGTTTCATTTTGCACCAACTCACGAATGGGTCGATTAAGGTTGCCAGCAAATTGCAATGCATAAGTTGATTTTGGAATGTTGTTTGACTCGTCATCTAAGGAATGGAATATTTGCAAAATATGGATAGCAATGAATCGAGTTGAAGCAGATTTCGCTCCATTCGCTTTCGATCTAAAATATCCAAATCCATCATCGTTTCTGCCACTCGATCGGATCGGATCGAGTAAAGGATATTCTCCACCCAGTTTTGGTTGGACCCGTACATTCTTTTGAACCAAGCACCAACATTGAAGCAGAGAAGAGATTCAATGGCTAGAAAGGAGCACCAGGAGGGATTATTTGTTGAGCCAGGAGTGAATGAAGCAGTCGTCAATCTTAATCAAGAAGATGATCACATCTTCCCTGCATCTAGAATTAAAGCAAAGACGCTGACAGATACACACAGTATGAGTTCATGAAGAAAGACCCACATAGAGGGCTTGCTTGATGACGGTGGTAATCCATTGCTGTCAAAGAGAAGTTCCAACATCAACCTGCATGCATACATAAAAAGAAAAAACGCATCAGTTGTTACTGGGGATTTGAACGGGAAAGTAAAAGAAGAAGATGCATGGACTATGCAGTACCTACACGAGCCGGAGGTTGAAGGAATCCAATAGTGTCGTCACACTTTAGGAAAACCAAACCATATGACAGAATTACAGGCTGTACGTGATATAAAGTTGTAGAAGAGAAGCTTATGTTGTGATAAAAACTCCATGCTCTGTTTAGAGGAGTTGTTGATTTTGTGCGAGGAAAACTTTTAGCTTTAGAAGAGGTGTGCTTGCTGCTATATATCATGAACTCTGGCATAAATTTCCTGACTATGATGCACCAATACAGCTTGTCAAGCCGTTTGAACGTAACAACAAGTATGATGATAAGTGGGCTGGCTGATGTGCCAAGGTAGCAACACGATTTATATATAGTTGGCATCACAAAGCAAGCAATCCCATTGTAAATTTGAAGAAGGAATTGGTTGATGAAAATTAACAAAAGTTAGGATCCGTCAGACTTGTTGATCCTAGAGAAGCTGCTGCTGCAGACAAGGTATTGCTGGATAGATTCGTTTATTCAATGGAGGACGGGACAGCTACTATAAAACGGGAGTGGCAAGACTTCTCTGCGAGGGCAAAAGCTGTGAAATGAGTTGAGGCGGAACAGCTACAACAAACGCATAAGATCAGAAATTGGGTTGAATTTTTGTTTCGGGTTTGCAAAGTGACGGGCCAACGTTTGAATGGTGGAGGACCAAGCCTTATGGCAGAAGTAAATAAGGGCTTTGACATGGACTAGCTATGTGAAAGCATACAACAAAAAAGTTCAAATTATTCTCTTCGATCCAACTAACGAGAGCAAAGGGTTAAAGAGTTTGATTGGCCACTCAGGAGATGGAAAAAAGAATAGTTCAAAACTTGAGGATGAGTTTTCTTCGACTTGGAGAGCTTGACATGCTCAAAACTGGAATATGAGTTTTCTTCAACTCCAAGAGTTTGACATGAGAGTGTGTCCAAGATGGTAACAAAGCCAAAGCCAAATTCTATTATGTTTGGAGAGTTCATATTTAATTTGGAGGATTGAATTTAAGTTATTATATCCAAATAAGTTAGGGTTTTATTTTTTCTTTATTGGACGAATTTTATGAGTAATATTTAAACAACTTTTTTTGATGAATTATTGAATAAAATATATGAGAATTTTATCTCCAATTCGTGTATCCTTGTGCTTGCTTAGGATTTATGTTTTTTTTTTTTAATTGAATTGATCAATCAACATGGTACTATTGATCAAAATTAATATAGATTGTAGAAGGATTTTAAATCTCACCAAAATTAATCAAAGCTAGAGTTTATTTTGTTGTTTAAACATAATTTTGGGTTTCGGGATTTATCATTTGCTGCTTGATTGTTATCTTCACAAATCTGGTGTCAATTCTTCCTCAAACAAAAGATTTTTTTTCATGGTTTTTTTCAAAAATTCTCCCTTTGTCTTCAACCCATAAAACAACCCTCAAAACCTCTCTTCTCCTCACATATCCTACCCGAACACATGCTAAATGACACTCCTTACTCCTCTTCTCTAAGTCAAGCCTGTCAAAATCCATTTTTAACCCTTTCATAAATTATCATTTTATACAAAAATTAAAAAAAATACATGTTGCATAGTTTTCTAATTTTTGCTTATTTTTAGGTATTTTTTTTATAACTTTTGTGATTTAAACACATCGAAATTATTTCTTAATTTTTAAGGTAGCCAAAAAAATAAATAAAAAAAGAGAAGAAAAAGAATCAAGAAGTTAATTAATTTGGATGCAACTAAACATTTTAAAAGAAAAAAAAGGTGAAATTTGAAGATAATTTTGATGCAATTGAATGATCTAAAAGAAAAGGGTAGAAATTGAGTTTAATTGGAGTGAAATTCAATAAGATTAAAAAGAAAAAGGGTTGAAATTGAAAACAAAAGAGAAATTAGACATTTTAGGGGTATCATTGCAGATTATTCAAAAGAATAAAGACTAAATTAAAAATAAAACCAACAAATAGAGAGCAACTTAAATCTTTTCCATAACGAGCGTCGTTTTCGAACAACTAAAAACACTCGTTTCCCTTTCTTCTTTCTTCTTCGTTCTTCCCCATACAAGGCCATTTTTTTTTCTTGTCCATTTTTCCTTTATTTTGCCCCTCTTTTTCACCACTTTATGGCCACTTTCTCCCCCTTTATAAGTGGTTAGACACTTGCCACAATGCTTGTCCATCCTTTTTTTTTCCTCTCCTCATTTTTGTACCCTAAAATATGCCAAACAACATGCATAAACCGCCTCCATATGTTGCTATTAAGGCACTGCTAACATGCCGGCACCAAAGCCCTATTCATTTTCGCCCGCCTCGCATTGACTTTGAATGGGGATGGTATTTACTTTGTCCCATCCCGTTATTTTCTTTAAAAATTACAATTATACCTAATATATATATAAATTCTAAGATTACAAACTAGTCTCTAATATAATGAGTGAGTTTTGAAGATCTCTAAATAGTAAAGACATACAAGAATATGTGTTTTTTTAGTTGTATTTTTGATATTTTATCAACTTAATTAAGTATATCATTTATTTGATTAAAACCAATTTAATATATTATGAGTTATGTTGTAAACTTATAGTTGAATATGATGTTAGATGATTTTT